CAAATAAATGATACAGTAATTAATAAATAATAATGTAAGAATAGACTGTTTTGCATATTCACAACTGTAAACCTACTTTTGCCACCTCCTGTAGGCACACGTTGAAGAAATGATTTGCCACCTGGCTGTGTTTGTGCATGTGTGCATGTATGAGTGTGTTACAGGGCTTTGCAAAGATCGTCTCTTCTTGACCTGTAACTAACTGTGTGCTTCCCAAGTCAAGACTGTACTTTGTTAATTTTTGTTGGGTCTAGTAGCCAGGACAGGGCCTGACTCGTGGTAGACAGAGAATAAATGCTCATTGCTAGAATATAAAAATTAATATATGGTTTGCATAAGCAGATGTACCATAAAGCTAAAGGAATTCGAGCTTCAGGGCCCAAAACATTTATAAAGGTGAGATATTCAAACTGTAATTAATTCAAGGTATTATGTCTTTCCACTTTGACATTTCTTCCATCACATCTGACTTCATGTTTGTTGAGATGAGAGGGCTACAAACATTTTTTGGGATCAAGCTCAGGGGGAGTGAAGTTAGGATTCATTTAATTTGGGTTGAGGGGCATATAATGTTTATGTGATTGACATTCACTCTTGTCTGTAGTTATGCTAGCCATCCCGGTGTGGAAAAACGTTCCAGGAAATCCTTCTGCCCACTGTGCAGGACACATCCCAGGCTGGGACCTGAGGGTGCAAGGCCAGGTGCTGTACGACATGTCAGCCTCCTATAGTGTCCAGAGCAAGAGGAATATGAGTAATAAAGGAGAAACAAGGCTTAGAAGGTATAATGTAGAAAACTGATCTGTGAAGTCTTCCATTCACTAGTTGTGTAAAATTATAAGATGGTAAATTATTCTCTATAACACATAGTCAAAAAGGACATTCTCTTCCAACAGAATTAAGACTCAGAAGAGCAGAGCACATCTGATACATTCACTATACTTTCTTTTTTGTTGTTTTTTTTTTTTGTACGTGCCCCTAGCGGACGCCAAACCCAGGACTCTCTAGTCTGGAGGCCGATGCTCCAACTGCTGAGCCAAACTGGCCAGGGATATACTTTCTTTTTCAATGGGGATTGTATGACATAGAGTTTACCATAGTTTGTTTCTGGGGTACAAACCTATACCAGTAACCCAAATGGCAAGTGCATCTGTGTGTGAAATAACGCATTTTACACATTTCAGTTTGTTGGCTTGCATCTTACCATAGTTAATATATTCTGTTCTGAAGAAATCTGGTGGTTCCAGGTGAAATGGTATTTAAAATTGCCACAGAGTCAGGAAAGGCGCCTGAATTTTCTAAATTGTTAATAATAAATAACAAAATTTGATTAAGCACTAGAAAATTGGTTTACTTTTGTTCTCTACAAATATTACAAAATTGTTTTCTGTGCAGAGCTGATCAAAGAATGTGCAGCCAAAAAATGTGGGAGAGTGTATTAAGCAATTCATAAAAATGCCTTTTCTAGACTCAGGATGTTTAGGATTTGATCAGCTTCATAAAATTTGGAATTTGTATTGACATCTTTTTTTACTCTAAGTAAATAGATTCATACCTTTCACACCTAATTTTGTATGCAAAATTTTGTAATGTTTTTCTGTTGACAGACATTTGCTGTCTCAGTGCTAGTGCTTCATGATATGAGCACTGGTCACTCAGTCCCTCCCTGTCATTTATGGTAAGACACTGCGCTATTTCAGCCCCAACAACTCAACCAGATAACAGCTCTGTAGAACAGATAACTAGACAACAGCTCTATATAATATATAACCAGGTAACAGCTCTGTAGAACAGATAACTAGATAACAGCTCTGTATAATATATAACCAGGTAACAGCTCTGTAGAACAGATAACTAGACAACAGCTCTATATAATATATAACCAGGTAACAGCTCTGTAGAACAGATAACTAGATAACAGCTCTGTATAATATATAACCAGGTAACAGCTCTGTAGAACAGATAACTAGACAACAGCTCTATATAATATATAACCAGGTAACAGCTCTGTAGAACAGATAACTAGAAACAGCTCTCTATAATATATAACCAAGTAACAGCTCTGTAGAACAGATAACTAGACAACAGCTCTATATAATATATAACCAGGTAACAGCTCTGTAGAACAGATAGATAACAGCTCTATATAGCATATAACCAGATAACAGCTCTATATAACATACAGCTAAATAACAACTCTATAGCCATAAGAGCTCAAATTTGCATTTCTAGAAGTGACAGGCAAACTGACACAATACATTTTATTTTAAATGCTGCATACTGTGTAATCTATTTGAAAACCTTTAAAGGGAAAATTAGGAATTCAAAGTCAAATAATTTCAATCTGCCAATGGGGACGCTATCAGCAAAATGCAGGTTGTGGTCAACTCCACAGATCAAAGAACTTGGTTTCCTTCATTTGAAAAACTGCAAGGAAAAAAAAAGTGATAGAATGGGAAACTATGAATTAAAACAGACTTAAAAGACCTGGCACAATGTGTGACTTTATGTTCCAATTCAAACTATTAGAAAATGACACCTATGATAGTTGGAAATAATCTGACTGCACATGTGATATTAAGAAAGTCCTGCTACTTTATAGATGTATGATTGCTAAAATAGTTCTTCTTTTGTAGAGATATATACAATATTTATAGATAAAACTATATATGTGTGATTTGCTTTAAAATACAAATGGAGGAAAAGTGGATAAAGTTTGAGGGCTGGGTGAGAGGTATGTAGAGTGCCATCACACTCCTCTGTCTTTTGTGTGTATGTATGCTCATAAGTCTTTGTAATAAAAAGTATTAAAATATTCCAATCTGATTGTCAAACCCAAAGGACATAGATAACTCTTTTTTTTTTTATCCTTACCCGAGGACATTTTTCCTTTTTTTTTTTTTTTTTTTATCCTCACCCGAGGACATCCTTCCACTTTTTGTACAGATAGAGTGGGAGGGAGAGAGAGGAAGGGAGAGAGAGAGAGAAACATCGATGTGAAGGGACACATCGAGTGGCTGCCACCCGCACGACCAACCAGGGCCGGGGACAAACTGCAACCGAAGTACGTGCCCTTAGCGGGAACCGAACCCGGGCCTCTCCGGACCACAGGCCGACGCTCTAACCGCTGAGCCAAACTGGCCAGGGCCATAGATAACTCATTTAAGATACCAAGACCATTATGTTGATGACAATCTATTACATGGTTGTAGTGCATGTCTTGAGGAGTTAAAGTGTTATTGTTACAATGAAAAAGTAAAAATAATTTTACTATTTCTATTGCTAAAATTAAAAGTTGTGTGTAGCCCTGGCCAGTTTGGCTCAGCAGTTGAGCATCAGCCTGCGGACCAGAGAGTCCCAGGTTTGGTTCCCGCTAGGGGCACATACCACACACACACACACAAAATATTCATGTCAGAACTTATATGCATGTATGTATGAACAATGGACATGGACAACAAAGGTGGGGACAGAGTGGGGAGGGAGGAAGAGGGGGGAATCAGTGGGTGAAAAAGGGGAAACATCTGTAACAAAAATAAATTAATTAATTAAATAATAAAAAAAGGGAAAAAGTTGTGTGTAAATTGTATAATATTACATACATTGCTTAATTCAAAAATGGAATGTTTTATAATTAATTTATTTTATTTTTTATTGATCTTAGAGAGAGGAAAGGAAGGGGACAGAGATAAACATCAATGTGAGAGAGAAACATCCATTGGTCGCCTCCTGAACATACACCCACTGGGGATCCAACTTGCCACATTTGGTGCACGGGATGACACTCCACCAAACTGAGCCACACTGGCCAGGGCTATAATTTACTTTATTGAGCATATCCAAATAGTCCAAGCATAGTAAATACATGTTTTAAAAAGATCAGGTAGCATTTATAATAGAGGAAGAATTGTTATCCCTAGCATGAATGTAAGGTGGTCTGAAAAACTTTCATTTATCTTGTCATTGCAATAAAAAAACCAATTCACATTATAGAAGTTTTATGAGCCATAAGATTTTTTTCAACCGAGACCAATACTTTATTAACATATGAGGAGGAAGCAAGTATAAAATATATTTTTTTTAAATTCAGTTGATGCTAAAATTCCCTCTGCCCTCACCCTCATCCCCATCCCTAATTTCACGTCTGTTGTTCTCCTGACAGTGGGCAGCAGAGGGTCATCGGCCCAGAGGGAAAATGTGAGGGTGCACTGCTGGTAGGGCTCCAGATCACCTTCAGGTTCATGATCACCTCTGCCAACAGGTGAGCCCACTCTACCCTGAGCCACAGCCTTGAAGCCCAGGGCAGTGAAGTACACATGCAGGTGCTAAGGGGGCAGGTAGCACAGGAAGACTAGGAGGTGGTCTCTTGGCACTCCTGTAGGATGGCTTCTAGCCTGTCCTGGAGGGTGTTGCTGAGCAGTGACCGATGCTCTGGTGTGAGGTCCCAAAGCCTCCTGATGTCCTGGTCATCGAGCTGCTGTGGGTTCCAATTCAGGTCAGGGATGAGGACAAAGCCATCAGAGGGATCTAGGTTCCCAAGACCAGTACTTACCTACCCCTGCATTTTGTGACATTTAATGTTGCTGAACCCTCACTGCTATTTGAAATTCTGTGCTCTACCTTTCTGGTCATTCTCTCTCAATCTCATTCATAGGCTACATTTCCTCCAATTAACCCTTCAGTCATTGGCGTGGAGTGGAAGAGAGCTTCCATGTCTGTGGTCCTCTCCTCTGGGGATTATGAGGAGGCAGGAAACACTAAAGGGCAATCTCATGCATGGTAGGACCAAGCCCAAAGTCATCCGCTTTCCCGTCCTAGCCTCCCAGGACAACTGAGCAAATCCACTGAAGAAATAAACTAGATCAGTTTAGAAAATACTTCATGAAGAAACCATTTGACTTTATATGATTTTATTTTTCACAGAATAGCATAATCACAGCCAGCATTCTACTTCAGATGAATCTAGATATAAATATCGATTTAAACTGGGTTGAAGGACTCTAAGGGTGATCCCCCAACTTTCTGGACAACCTCCACATATGGAAAGAACTTGAAATCTTTGCCACTAAGGGAATTCTGAACTTTCTCTTCCTTAAAGTTTTTTGGGGAATGGTCCAGCGAATGGTTTGGGGTATAATCTCCAGTGTGTCTGCCGGCACACAGGCATAAAAAAATGGTTGGTTTTGTTTTCTTTCATAACGCAAGTTGATATCACCTTGAAGTTTTGAAGCTGGCTTATACATGCTCAGAAAATAATCTGCTATTACTGACTCGTAATCACACACTTTCTTCTCTCTTTTGTGTTTCGCTTTACTCTGTGTATAACTGGGATAGCAGTCCCCGTGAATGTTGTTTCTAAATAAATCAAACTTTGCCTTCTTTCCTTCTGGATGTCTGTGAGGTTTGTCTTGGCTTTTTGCAAGATGTAATTTAACATTTGATTCTGTCAAGGGAGCTAAAGAGTATCTTGCTCTGTTTTTTGTAGGCCACGAAAGCTTCTCTTCACTGAATTTGATAGATGATGCAAATGGAACCTCCTCAGTATTTAGTGAACTGTGACACAGCCAGTCAGGAGACTGCACTTTGGAGGATGACCTATATTTTCTGCTGTTGTGGGATGCGTAGGAAGGCAGTATCACAACTGAGGAAGATTTTCTACGGCCTCTAATATAATGAAAACCTGAATTGTCAGTGGAAAGTGGGTTCAAACCCGTTTTGATTTGTTTCATCTTGTAAAGATTTTCCAAAGGAAAGCCTTTCTGTAATTCAAACAGAATGTTTTCTGATTCCCGACTTAAATAAGGGTTGGCTTCTAAAAACATGCTTTCTTCACTCTCAGGGTCTTCGAGAGCTGAGCATTTCTCCAAGTTAGCGGCACTCTTATTATCTATCTGATCGTCAGTAAAATCTTGAGAAATCTGAATTGAATGGCAATTAACTAAGTTAGGAGCATTTTCCTGAATCTTTAAGTCAAGAGATGCATGTAGACCTGTTTCTTGAAACCATACGTGAGGTTTGTTTGTTTCTAGAGTCACGTGAGGTTTTGACACAGAAAGAACCGTAGTGTCGTTCTGCGCTGTTCCATGTTGTTCAGGGTCAGAGGCACACACGAGGGTGGGCTCCAGGAGTCTCCTAATTGATGAGGGGTTTTCATGGGGACTTTGCTCTTTGAAAGAGGTATGTTGTTCTAACAGGTCTGTATGAATGGAAAGACAATCACTTTCTCCACTATTATCTACTTTTTTACACACTGCAGTGTTTAACTTAAAAATATGTTTGGGAAGTATATTTGGCTCAGGAAACATACTTTCAACCGGAAGCCCCAGGAGAAAACTAAGGTATTTTTTTTGTAAATCTAGTTCGATTTGATGAAGAGATTTTTCCTCAAAACCTAACGAAATTGTGTTTTCTTGTTTTGGCACTTTGACACTAGAATGAATACATTTAGATAAAAGTTTCCTTCTATCCTGAGTATCAGCCGTCACGTAAGATTCTCTTACAATTCTGGGAAAGGCTTTCATTTGGATCTCCAGTGTTTTCATAGAAAAGTGTGTGAGAAGTCTGTCTTTTTCTTCCACTGAGTAGTTTTGGAGAATCTGAAACGGTGGCATTTTATTAGCTGAAGTCACGGAGGATGGTCCACTTTCTAGCTTACTAGCACTCTTCAGCTGTGTGATGATCTCTTCGCTGCCACCTGAAACATTAACTATCAGTGTCTTCGTACAGCTGATCTGAGGTGAATCTTTTTGGTATTTTTGTTTTAAGTTAAGTTTGATAGTATCAATCCCTTCTAGAGACAAAAATCTCATTTTTTTATGTCTTGGATAGAACCTGTGACTGTTATCTTTTGAAATAGTCTGTTTTGAATAAAAGTCGAACTTTTTGAAGGGTTGTTTTTCCATCTTGGGTATCAGATTCAGTTTTATTTCGAGTGCTTTTGACTTTAAAATGGGTTTTGGCTGAAATTTAGGATGTATTGTTGTGGATGTTACCTCTGGAACCTCTGCAAAAGGTAGTGACTTCCTATCATCAGGATGATGAGCTTTTACTTTTTCCAGTTTATCAGCATGTACTTTGTCTTGGATCATATTTTTTATCTGGGATTCAAAGACATTTTTAATTGTATCATAAAGAGGAAGTAAACTTTCTTTACTTGTACTATCTGCCACTATTTGTATTTCATTACTTTCAACTTGGAGTGGTATGGGTACAGTTTCTGAAAAAGGATTTTGTTGCTGGACCTTACGTGTGGTTGTGTCCTGTATGGGGTCACTCTGATCCCTATGCCCAGGTGGGGAGGCACTCTCCAAGGTTTCCATTGGCTGAGTGTCTTGTGGTGGTTCTTCTACTCCTGGAGGGGAAATATTCGTACTTAGGGTATGTTTCATGTGGGTTTCCACATTTTCCTTTGGGTCTCTAGATGTGCTTGGATACTCTGTGGGTGTCAGAATGAGTTTTGGTGCCTTTTCTTTCTGCTCAATAATAAGCAAGTCAGGTTCTTTTATGATCCTTGGGATATCATGCCCTGGAACAACCCTTTCTTCTGCTTGTGGAGTTAAATTTATTTTATTTATTTCACTGTAGAGGTGTTCCTCTGATTTGACATTAGAAAGCTGTTGCATTTGTTGATGATCCTCCGTGATGGGCCTGGAATCTTCCGGAAGTGTGTTTGTCAAATTCTGGTCCCCTCTTTTTACAGTGCTTGAGTTATTCCTCTTCACAATTTCACCAGCATTTGGTGATTTCTTCTGGAATTTAGGAAAACAGATTTTCTTTTCTTTTTTTAGGTTGATGTCAGATTCTACCATTTCTCCAGCCTGCGATAGATCCATTACAGAAATAGAAAGACTTCTGACATGTGTTCCTGAGTCGACTTCATTCCGCAAAGCTATTTTCTTTGGTTTGTTAAAGTCATACTCCTTACGTTCTTGCATTTTTATTATTTTCCTTTCATCTTTCCTTTCCTGCATCTTCTTTTCTTGATGTATGGGAAACATTTGATTGGCCATCTCCACCCCCACCTCTTCCTTGTTCTGCGGCATATGTTGCTTTCCTTCTTGCAGTCTGATTAAAATATCAGGAATAATTGGCTCTACATATATGACTTTCTCAGAATCTGATGATTCCTGGAAATTTAAAGGGGATCTTGTCAGTGTCGGCATGCTTTTTTCCTTGATTCTGATATTCATGTTAAGTTGTAGCGGGGAAGAGCTAAAAGTACAAGTCTTAGTCAGCATGACACCAGCTGGGTCACAGGTAACTTTCTGAACCTTCTTTCCCTCTTGCTCTTTAGTTTTCCTCTGAAGGTCACTTAGATTGTATATAAGTAAAATAGGTGGTTTATTTGTATTCAAATACATATCATTGGGCTCCACTATACTTTTCAAATCCATGTTTTTCTCTCTACTCTTTTCTTCTTTCTGTAGCATGCGTTCTTTTAATTCTTTTACATCATTGGAAAGTTCTCCATCAATGGATTCACCATGTGCTATGTCCACTGCATCTGATGATTCCGTGGACTGTAGTTGTGGAACAGGCTCTTTTATAATTGTTATCAAGTACCCCTCTCCTTCCGTTGTATCAAGTTTAAGATCTGACATAGTAAGCAAAGAAGTACAAATGTTTTTGATCTTTGTAACTAGTTTATTGTTATCTTCCTGTACCTTTCTCTTTTGCTCTTTAATTTTACACTGTAATTCTTTGCTATTGAGTGTATGTGGAAGTGGTAATTTCTTTGCCTTCAGATCCATGTATATTGGGAGCATTTTGTCTTCAATATCTATTTTGAGTCCATTCTCCCCCTTTAACATATAACCTTCAGATGAATTAGTATATGCTTTTTTGCCTGAAATGGATGAATCCTGAATCCTTAAGGGTAAAATACAGGATTGTGTTGTTCTTAGTGTGACTTCCTTTTCATTAACCCCAGTTTCCCATTTCAGGTGAGATGGAGAAGGTAAGGAAGCACAGGTTTTCCTCAGAACCATTTCTGGCTTACCTTTGTCTTTCTGCACATCTTTCATTCCCTCTTTAATATTCAAAGATAGTGTCTTCCCACTAAGTAGATGTGCAAGTGGGGATCTTTCCACCCTCAAAGTAATACTTTGGGGGAGTATAATACCTTTCCCTTCTTCCATTTTTACTCTGTTTCTTGTGTCCTTATATGGCATATGTTCACTAGCTTTTATTACTGTAGTACATGAGCTAGTACCTTCATAGGAATCTGCATATTTGATGTTCCCTGCACCTGAGGACTCAGGGAGCTGTAACTGTGAAGGAGAGAATCCTGTCATTTCCTTGTCAACTTTGGTTCTGTGTTGTTCTCTGTCCTTTTCTTTCTGTGATAGGTGTTGTTTTCTTTTTCTTACATCACCACCGATTGTCTCTGCATCTGATAATATTGAACCTATTTGTAAAAATGGAGTGGTTTTTTTAATTCCAAGCTCTTGTGCATCTACTTGTGTGCCTTTATCCAATTTAAGGTTAGTTGGAGATTTGCAAATATAAACCCTTCTTAGCACTGTACCAGGTGGTTTTTCTTGACCTTCATGCATCCTCTGTCCTTGACTTCCAATGTTCACATGCAATTCTGTTCTATGGAGTGTATTTGAAGGAGGTGATTTCTTTGACATCACACTTATATCTGTAGTATGTGTCAGACCTCTCATAGCTACCGTTGTTTCTCTGCCCCTCTCTTTCTTCTGTGGAATATGTTGTTTCTTGTTTTCATCATTTTTCATATCACCACCAGCTGGCTCAGTATGTACCTTGCTGGCATTTGATATTCTCTGCATTTCTTTGTCCAATTTGAGGAGACGGAGAGATGGTAATGAATCAGAAGCTTGGGTCAGAAGCACACCTGGTTCATCTTTACTCCATTGTATCTTCTTTTCTTGATGTTTGGGGAACGTGAGGTTTATCGTCCCCGCTCCAACCTCCTTCTTGTTCTCTTGCACATTCATTTTTGTTGTGTAGCTTGATCTGTTTTGTGTATCAGTGGTAATGGCCTTCTGTGTTTCCCTGTAACATGGTGATTTCTCTAGCTTAAAATAGGTAGGGTTGTGTAATTGTACTCTTTGTTGGTCCGTCTCTGCTTTTAGTGTGCAATACATTTTAATATCTGTTTTGTTATCAGTTGAAAAAGGTGTGGGAGATGAAAATGGATTAGCTATATTTTCATGTTGTTGCTTGCCTTTTATTGTCGTTCTTAAGTGGCATTCTTCTTCCTTTCTACAGTCTAGATTACCACGCTCAGTGGCAGTGAGCATCCCTGAACAAAGAAGCTTCTTTGCCTTCATGTCTACACTTATGAGACTTGTAAGATTTTTTCTTTCTGGAAGTCTGAATACCTCATTCTTGCTTTTAGACTCAGATATAATGGATATCATTGACCTTGTTAGTAAATCTCTTTTCAGATCTTCACATTCCTTGGCAATATGACCACCCAAGTTCCTTCTAGCGCTTTTATCATATGGATTTCCAAGCACTAAGTTTTCTGACTTGGTAAGTGAGTTGTTCTGATTAACTGTGTACTTTTTTTTTTGAGCCCCTTTGTTTTCCTTTTCTTTTTTAGATTGTAGGGAAATTGCACTCTGAGCACCCAGCTTCCTTATAGGGCTCCCATCAGATGTCATACTATACTTTGTTTCATTAATTAAGAGATCATCAGACATTGCTTTCCTTGCTCTTGGGCATGAGGTCTTTTCACTCATCCTATGTGGCAGGTGTTTTTGTGGTGGGATATTCTTCAGTAGCTCTTCAGTTTGAAGTGGAATCACCAGGTGAGAACAAACTGACTCTGATATATTTTCTGAAACCAGTGTTTGTCGCTGTGCTTCTTGTGCTGCAATAAGCATATTTTGATCTTTTCTCGGTCCCTTCCTGAATAGACCTGCTTTGAATAAAATTTCATTGTCCTCTATATTTTTTTCATTTTGCCATCTTGATTCTAATGAGCTCTTAGAGGTACTCCAATTTTTGCAGGAATAAGTACACAGTGGCAATTGCTTTGCCTTCAGATTCATGTATATTGGGAGCATTTTGTCTTCAACATCCATTTTGAGTCTACCCTCCTCCGTTAACATAAAGCCTTCAAATGAATTAGTATATGGTTTTTTGCCTGAATTGGATGAATTCTGAATATTTAACTGTGGAAAACAGGATTGTTTTGTTCCTAGTGTGACTTCCTTTTCATTCATTCTAGTTTTCAGTTTCAGGTGAGATGGAGAAGGTAAGGAAGCACAGGTTTTCCTCAGAACCATTTCTGGCTTACCTTTGTCTTTCTGCACATCTTTCACTCGCTCTTTAATATTCAAATATAATGTCTTTCTACTGAGTAGATGTGTAAGTGGGGATCTTTCCACTCTCAGAGTAATACTTTGGGGGAGTATTCTACCTTTCCCTTCTTCTATTTTTACTCTGTTTCTTGTGTCCTTATATGGCATATGTTCACTAGCTTTTATTACTGTAGTACATGAGCTAGTACCTTCATAGGAATCTGCATATTTGATGTTCCCTGCACCTGAGGACTCAGGGAGCTGTAACTGTGAAGGAGAGAATCCTGTCATTTCCTTGTCAACTTTGGTTCTGTGTTGTTCTCTGTCCTTTTCTTTCTGTGATAGGTGTTGTTTTCTTTTTCTTACATCACCACCGATTGTCTCTGCATTTGATAATGTTGAAATCATTTGTAAAAATGGAGTGGTTTTTTTAATACCAAGCTCTTGTACATCTACTTGTGTGCCTTTATCCAATTTAAGGTTAGTTGGAGATTTGCGAATATAAACCCTTCTTAGCCCTGTACCAGGTGGTTTTTTTTGACCTTCATGTATCCTCTGTCCTTGACTTCCAATGTTCACATGCAATTCTGTTCTATGGAGTGTATTTGAAGGAGGTGATTTCTTTGACATCACACTTATATCTGTAGTATGTGTCAGACCTCTCATAGCTACCGTTGTTTCTCTGCCCCTCTCTTCCTTCTGTGGAATATGTTGTTTCTTGTTTTCATCATTTTTCATATCCCCACCAACTGGCTCAGTATGTACCTTGCTGGCATTTGATATTCTCTGCATTTCTTTGTCCAATTTGAGGAGACGGAGCGATGGTAATGAATCAGAAGCTTGGGTCAGAAGCACACCTGGTTCATCTTTACTCCATTGTATCTTCTTTTCTTGATGTTTGGGGAACGTGAGGTTTATCGTCCCCGCTCCAACCTCCTTCTTGTTCTCTTGCACATTCATTTTTGTTGTGTAGCTTGATCTGTTTTGTGTATCAGTGGTAATGGCCTTCTGTGTTTCCCTGTAACATGGTGATTTCTCTAGCTTAAAATAGGTAGGGTTGTGTAATTGTACTCTTTGTTGGTCCGTCTCTGCTATTAGTGTGCTATACTTTTCAGTACCTATTTTGTTATCAGTTGAAAAAGGTGTGGGAGATGAAAATGGATTAGCTATACTTTTATGTTGTTGCTTGTCTTTTATTATAGTTCTTAGGTGGCATTGTTGTTCTTTTCTACAGTCTAGATTACCATGCTCATTTGCAGTGAGTATCTCTGAACACAGAGGCTTCTTTGCCTTCATGTCTACACTTATGAGACCTGTAAAATTTTTTCTTTCTGGAAGTCTGAATACCACTTTCTGCCTTTTAGACTCAGATAAAACAGATGTCATCGACCTTGTCAGTAAATCTTTTTTCAGATCTTCACATTCCTTGGCAATATGACCACCCATGTTCCTTCTAGAGCTTTCATCATATGGATCTCCAAGCACTGAGTTTTCTGACTTGGTAAGTGGGCTGTTTTGATCAACTGTGTACTTTTTTTTTTGAGCCCCTTTGTTTTCCTTTTCTTCTTTAGATTGTTGGGAAAATGCACTCTGAGCACCCAGCTTCCTTATAGGGCTCCCATCAGATGTCATACTATACTTTGTTTCATTAATTAAGAGATCATCAGACATTGCTTTCCTTGCTCTTGGGCATGAGGTCTTTTCACTCATCCTATGTAGCAGGTGTTTTTGTGGTGAGATATTCTTCTGTAGCTCTTTAGTTTGAAATGGAATCACCAGTGGAGAATAAACTGACTCTGATATATTTTCTGAAACCAGTATATGTTGCTGTGCCTCTTGTTGTGCAATAAGCATATTTTGATCTTTTCTGGGTCCTTTCCTATTCAGGAAGTATAGACCTGCTTTGAATAAAACATCATTGTCCTCTGTATTTTTTTCATTTTGCCCTCTTGATTCTAATGTGTTTTTGAAGGTACTCCATTTTTTACAGGAATATGTACACAGTATTTTCCCTTTACGATGTTCCCAACATCTTGTAATGGTGCTTTTTTGTCTTAATGGGCCTTTCTTTGTTTTTACTTTATGATGACTTTTTATTGCAGGTGAGGCAGGTGTGGATGAAAAAAAGGTATTTATAAAGATATCTGACATACCTAGAGATATTTCTTTGGCCATATTTTCCAACATGCGATCCTGTTGCTTTCCATGGCTATGGACACTGGACCTGGTGATATTAATTGTCTTTAAAACAATCTGTGCTTTCCCAAGTCTAGACTTAGGGATGTGTGCCGTAATTCTCTGCTCTTTAAAATCAGATGAAGCTGGCATGGGGAAAGAAGAATATTCTAGGGCTGCTGTTGGTAAATCCTTCTGTAACCTTATCTCTCTCTCTCTAATAAAACTAGCAAGTTCCTTCCCAGGGCTTTTTTCAAATAGGATGCCACTCTGTGCTATATCAATTGAAGATTCATTAATTGATTTCCCTGGCATTGAAGATAAAATATTTGTGTTTCTTGAACCTTTTAATTCTGTTTTTGTTTTTGTTCTTTTTCGTAGCTTCTCACGTGGACGTAAATTCAAAATAGAGTGAGAAATAGAATGCAATATATGTTGTGTGAAATGTGCTTGTTGCTGCAGCTCCTGAGTGGTAGTAAATGATTCTGGGATTTTTTCCTTTGCTGAATTCTTTTGTTCTTGATCTGAGTAAACAATGTGAGGCTCCTTCATTTTATGAGCATTAAAACTGAAGTGTTGTGTATTCCAAGGGACTGCTTCTCTGCCTTGGTCTTTGACTTTCTTCATACTAAGTGTGGCACTGCCCCTCTTATCACTGGAATTGGCACACCAGGCTCTCTCTTCATCTGGTGGTTGCTCTTCTTGTTGTAGCTCATGATTGACTCTCATTTTCTGTGGCTCGTCCATCTCTACTTTTATTCTGTTATTCACATTCATGTCAAGTGAAATAGGTATGGCAGAGGAAATGGCATTTATAATTATATCTGCCACAGGTATACATTTTTCCATCATGACTTTGAAGTTGCATTCAAATTGCCTTCTGTGGCTTGATGTACCATGTTTTGTGATATTAAGTGTCTTGGAAATTGGTGCATTCTTTGCCTTCAAAGTTATACATTTGGGATTCATTTTATTTCTCTTGCCTGTACATGTTAAATATTTTCTCTTTGATGTAAGTAAAGCAAGTGTGGATAAATCCAAAGACTCCAGCATTGTTGCTGGTAATTCCTGTGCTAATCCTTCCTTTCTCTCTACAGTAAGATCTTCAAGTACCTCAGAATGGTTTATAAGAATGAAAAAATATCTAATCCTTGATTTCAGCAACCTTGAAGGTATATTTTTTAGACAACCATTCCCTGGGACATTATATATCTGTGAAATTGGTGTCTTCCTTGCCTTCATAATTACACATTTGGAATTCGTTTTACTTTTTAAGGCTGCACATGTAAATGTCCTTTTCTGCCTTTTAGATTCAGATAGATTATGTGTGGAGACATCAAGTGACTCCAGGACTTGTTGATTTTTATTAAACTCTGGCTTTTCCTTTTTACCATGATTATGCAGTTCCCCTATATGGCTCCCATTACTTGGGATACCACATTCCATTTTATCAATTAAAACTTGACCTCTTAGTGATTCCTTTGGCTTTAGAAAATGAAGCTTTGAATTTGCTCTATATATTGTGCCATTTTGTGTCTGGTGGGTTTTCTTTGGCTCCTCTACCTGCATTGGATCTATAGGCTGTGTCTGTTGTGGGACGTCTCGTTCTGTAACAAACAGAATTTTTCCACTTCCTTCATTTTCTGATTGGTGAAGTTGGAGCTCCTCCCTCTTGCCTGAACAGAATATGAAACACTTGCTGTGCTGTAGAACTTTTAATAACACCTCCCGTTGCCTTTCTTCTTCCTCTTCACCTTGAAGATTGGTTTCTTTGGTGTCATCTGAAGCAACGTTCCCTTTTTGTAGTGGTATCGCTTGCTTTACTTGTTTAGAACTGAGTCTTTTGTCTCCTAACATACCTTTTTCTATCTTGCTATACATATTAATGTCAGGTGTAATAGTCATGAAGGAATATATTTTATCTGCCATTTTTTTATCTTGATCCACCTCTTTCATGTTGGTTGTCAAGTTACATCCCAATTTTTTTCTATGTTTTGTGCTAGCACCACTCTTGATATTAAGTTTGTATGAAATCGATGGCTTCTTTGCTTTGAAAATTCCACACTTGGGTTTCACTAAAGTTTTCAAGTCTGAATATTGTCTGACATTTCTCTTCCTTTTGGATGTAGAAAAGGCAGATGTGCAGACACCGAAAGTCACTGTCTCTTTCTTTTCAATACTGCCAGTCTGTTCCTTTTGATGGTTTGCATCAAATGGGACAACACATTCCCTTGCAGAAAATATTTCATCAGTCTTTGCCTCCCCTGACTTTGGAGGGGGAAACCTAGCATACCTCTCTGGCTTTCCAAATTGAAATTGATCAACGATGGGGCATGAAGCAGAATCCAAAATAGTTTGTGGAAAAAGTATTTGTAGTTTTACTTCGATATTTATACTTCCTGGTTGTTTCTGTTCCTCATCTATTTCAACAAGCTCACGATTCTCCTTCTGATATGCATTGAATATAAAACTTTGGCTATTGTTTGAAGCTGGTAGAGATTTGTGTTCCCCTTCCCGCTGTTTCCCATCTTTCACACTGCTAGATAAACTACTCACATTAATAGAATCTGGGCAACATACTTTTCGTTCATTTGGAAATGTCTCTTGCAGTAGCTGAGTGTGGCCAAGTCTTGTTTTCCTTTGCATATCTCTCTCCACATTTAATATGTTACTCATTTTGATGTTGGGCAAAAAATGCTGTTTAAAGTGAATGACATTCCAAAATGCATCTGCTATATTTTTACTTTGCTGTGGATTTTTCATCTTTGTTTTCAAATTGCATCGCAGTTCCTTGCTCTGCCTGCCATTAAGCAGATGTGAAATTGTTGGCTTTTTCCCCCTTAGAGTTCTATATCTGCTACTCATTGACATTTGCTTCCTTGTTATTTTGTATGTGTCTTTCTTTCTTTTAGTTTTAGAAACAGAGAACTCAACAAAAATCAGAAGACTTCAGGGACGTCACTTGCAAATCTCTTTGTAACTCTGATTTTTTTTTCCCCATAAAATAAGAATCTAGTTGCTTTTTAGAGAGAGATAGAGAAACAGAGAGATTACATATATATATTCATTCTATTGGTTCTGTTTGCCTGGAGAACCCAGACTAATACTCCTACCCATTACCTTTAACATCATGTACCTTTGAAAACAGGGTCTGTCCTTACTACTAAAGCAAGATTTTGGGTTAAAGTAATGATCCCAAATGTGAACTCTTCAACATTCATTCTACTTCAAATGATTAGGCTAAGTCTAACACAGTAATCTCATTTCCAGTTGATCAGTTTAGGAATGGGCATGAACTAATCCTTGTATAAGACACAGATTTTTAAGGACTTCTGGAAGAAGTTGCCTTAGTTCTAAAGAAAGACACAGAAAGAAATGACCACTTACTTCCTCTGGACATTGACGTTCTGATTTTGGAACTCTTGTGGACATCTTTCTATCCACCTTGAGATAAAACCAATGCCAAGAAAGGCAGATGGAGAGATACAGAACCTTAACAAAGTTTTTGAGCACCTTATCAATGAATTCTGCAACCCATTCTACCTCAGGGCTTTCTATTACATAATATCATAAATTCTTTTCTTAGTATGCCAGTTTGAATCATGGTTTTGTTACTGGAGAATTAAAATATTCTAACTGATACAGGTAGGATGGTTGAGAATTCTGAGGAATCAATGATCCCAACAACTTATAGCAGTGTTCAGACATAATTACGATAAAATTTCATCAGGACAAGAGTATGGCTGTTCACTTAGAAAAGTGAAACAAAAAGCAAAAATATATCACATAAAAAGAATATTTACATGTTTGAGGAAAAGAAGGAAAGCTGAAATACAAGGCAGATATTTCAACTATGTAATATTGTGATTTTAGACATATTAAAACAATGCTAGATAATTTTTATATGTTGACTCAACCTTGCATTCCTAGGAAAAATCCCTCTTGGTCACAGTGTATAATCCCCCTTTTTTTTGTTTGTATTTTTGTTAATCCTCACCTGAGAATATTTTCCCATTGATTTTTAGATAGAGTGTAAAGGAGAAAGGGAGAGAGAGAGAGAAACACTGATGTGAGAGAGATACATTGGTTGGTTGTCTCCCACAAAACCCCGACCAGGGCTGGGGGTCAAACCAACCCAGGTAAGTGCCTTTGTGCAGGAATTGAACCTATGACCCTTTGGTCCATGGGCTGATGATCTAACCACTAAACCTAACCAGCCAGAACTGTCCTTTTAATATGATGCTGGATTTGGTTTGATCATATTTTGTTGAGTGTTTTGCATCTATATCCATAGTGACATTGGTCTGATACCTATCTTTACTCCATTAGTCTTTCTCATTTACATATTCTCCATTTGGTGAACTTTCAGGCCATCATATTCTCCCGGTTTTCCTCCTAACTCACTGGTAGCTTTTTCTCAGTCTCCTTTGATGCTTTCTCCTCTTCTTCCTTATCTCTTTGAAGTGCCCCAGGGCTCGGTCCTTGCTCCTCTTCTCTTCTTACAGTCCCTTTGTAATCTCATCCTCTTTTGTGGTCTTTTAATATTGTATATGCTCCCAACCCCCCAAGTTTGTTATCTTTACTAGACATCTTTTCCGAATTACTCACTCCTATCTCTATTGAATGTGTAATCAACATCTCAAATTCCACAATGCAAAACGGAAGTCCTGATCTCCCCATGACAACCTGCTCCACCCACAGTATTCTCCATCTCAGTTGATGACAACTTCATCTTCCTACTTGCGCAGACCAAAATTCTTGATGCACGTTTTTCTCCTCTTTCTCACATCCACACCCTGTTGGCTCTACTTTTCTAAGTATATCCTGAAACCAATTGCTTCTCATTACCTCCACTGCTACTACCTGGTTTAAGTCACCTTTATCTCTCACTTGGATTACTTGCAATAGTCTGCCATCTGCTTAGGCCCTTGACTGAATATAGTCTGTTCTCAACACAGAGGCAGAATAATCCTTTGAAAAGATAAGACTGAACATATCATTCTCCTTGAAAACTATACAATGATTCCTCATTGCTACTCATAGTAAAAGCCACTGTCTTTAACATGGCCTATAAGGCCCAGTCATGATCTGGTCACCTATTACTTCTCTCAACTCCTATATGTCTCCCCCACTCTCCCTGAGTCAGCCATACTGGCCTTTTTACTCTTCCTGAAACATTAAGCATCCTCCTCTGTAAGGCCTTGTTCTATTTGCTTGCCCTGTCTGGAATACTCTTCGATCATATATATTTGGTTGACTCCCCTATCCTTGCAAGGCTTTAGTCAAATCCCATATTGTTACCTACCTCTCCTCCCCTACTCTGGTACTCTGATTCCTCTTACCCTTTTCTATCTTTGTTTTACCATAGAACATATCACCTTATCTGACATATGCTATAATTTACTTATTTATCATGTTATTGTTTATTATTAGACTCCTCTCCAACTACAAAATGAGGCAGGAATTATTGTCTGTTTTATTCCCACCAATGTATCTCAAGAATCTACAACAGTGACTGGCACATAGTAGATTCTCAGTAAATATTTGCTGAATGGTCTTCTTTGCCTATAGGTTTCTGATTGCTAATCCTTGTTCACAACAAACTGACCCAGACATGCAACCCAACACTTTCTTCAAGTTCAACAAGGGGGGTGAAATCCACATACAAAAGCCACCCACAGATGTGATTGATTTTAATGAAATGTTAGAGGCAGAAACAGAAGGGAGTTGATTACAGCAATATGAACAACTCCCACTTAAATGTTAAGCATGTCACTCCATTTTTGAAATGTCCTTTGGCTTCTCCCACCAGGGAATCTCAACTGATTTTGAAAATTTAAAAAGAACTCCCCACGCTATTAGGAAAAGACTGAGAGTGCTTCAGCTATGGCAACAAGTAAGTACCAGAAGTGGTTGTAAGTCACTTCAGTCAATCAATGGCACACGATCATAGTACAAATAAATAGTAAATATGCTTTTAAATAATTTTATCAATGATAACTTGCTTCAGGAAATGCACTTCTAAAGCCAACCAATCATTAATAGCTTCAACTTTAAAAGTCACTTAAACTGTGGCAGACTCTCCCAGGAAAATATTTCTAAGGCTGAGGTCAACCCTGAAACAAACCATTCTCCCAGACGTGACTGGTAGAAGATCCGCAGTTTGCTTTGCTTGCTGAGTCTATGCCTGGCCAGCATGGCTCTCTCTGATTTCAGATAGGTGTGGTGGTCTCACTTTTGACGTCCTTTATGCCATTCAGTCCTAATCCTCCCTCCTCTCTGCCCATCCTCCATGTTTCTCTTCTCTCTCATCTCATAAGCAAAACAAAATCCATTCCATCTCTAATGCAATGTACTCGAACCATTTTTACGTTTAGGCTACTAACAATATTCAAGCCCTTTTATTTCAAAATAATCTAAGATGCTTTCCCAAATATAGTTCTGTCCCAAAAAGAAATTCTGGTGTCAGATAAACTATATTTGCTTTGTTACACATCACTTTAACTAATCTTCATGGTATTTCCTAAAAGGTAATTCTTCTAACCGCTATTTTGAAAGTAAGGAAATGGAGGTAAAGTGAGTTTAAGTCATTTGCCCAAGGCATTAAGATGCAGAACTATGATATAATCCTAGATCTTTTAAAATTTAAAACTTGTGTCTTTTCTCTACAGTATGCTTCCATATTTCTTCCTTTTCCTTTTCCCTCAACAACCACCCCCCTCCATTCTCTTCTCCTCAGTGACTTTCCACTAATGTCTCCAAGAAAGCTGCCGCCTTTGGGCAGGAATGAAATCACAGCCCACAGGAATGGGGCAACTCTAAGGTCAACTTGATTCCAAAACTGAAAATCCTTGTCTCCCCATTTCTCCTCATGGCTTCCTCTCTTGCCTATTGATCTTCTGGTTTTTAATTACTAATAGTCCCTGACTTCCGAGAATTTGACTTAATGGTTTTTCAACTTTATAATGGTGCAAAAGCAATAAACATAATTGCATGAGATAGTCAATATTTATTATAAAATAGGCTTTGTGCTAGATGATTTTGCCCAGCTAGAGGCTTAAGTAAGTGTTCTTAGTACATTTAAGGTAGGCTAGGCTAAGCTATCTTATGTTCGATGTTCAGTAGGTTAAGTGTATTAAATACATTTTCAACTTAATGACATTTCAACTTAAAATGGGTTTACTGTGACATAACCCCGTCATAAGTTATGACAAGGATCATCTATATATATGAACCTTCAATACAGTGCACACCTACCCCTGTATCTCTCAAACACCGACTCTTGGTCTGTCCAATTGACTTCTGGGTATGATTGCATTACTGAGGTGCTCTACTTTTCACTGGCATTCTGTTCACTACTAGCCCTGCCAAGGATTCTGTCAACCCGTATTGTTTCTGCTTCCCAGGACACCCACCTTACAACTAGAGTTGCTAGTACCTACTATGAAAACAGAGCAATTACATTACGTGAATAAATCCCCCTCCTACCTGACAAATAAAAAGAAATTAGCTTATAGTCAAATAATTGTCAGACTCATTTTCCACACAGCTAATAGCAATCTGGCTGAAATACTAAACTGCATCACGCCTATGCTTAACTACCATCAGTGGTTACAAACTATCTACAGAATAAAATCCAAGCTTCTTAACAGGGTATAGGATGTGCCCCCTGTTCTGACTCCTGCCTACCTCTTCACCTTCATCTCCCACTGCTCCCTGTGACTCAATCTTAGCATCCCAGCCACCCTGAAACATAATATATC